CCCCCAAACCCCTCCCCTGGTTGAACCACTGCGTAACTACGTCACTATGACACATCCCAAGTCCAACACAGTCTAACCGCAGAAACAAAACGATCATCGAAAACAGGAAAATGTTATATATCATATAATAATATCAACAATATATTAATATAATGGTATGCGTAAATAACAATATGCATAAGAAGTACCAATAGGAGCATTAGAAGTTACTATATAATACGCTATGACATTACAATAGCATACATCACAAATAATTTAAAATATCATGTACCATCAGAATATCAGATTATACCTAATATAAATATATTATATATTTATATCCTTACAAACAGGGACGGATTGGAACTTTGGGCCGGTCCGGGAAAATAACTTTTTAGCGGCCCCATGTTTAGATGGTAAACTAATATATTGTATATTTATTATTTATAATTATATCAATTCGATACTACTTATTACAATATTATAAAAAATCTAAATTCAAAATAAAAATATTTTTATTGTTCAGAGGTTCAGACTACAGTTCCATGCCGACTTGCATTGTTAAAATTATTGTTGATTAGTATTATTGCTATAACTTTAAATTATTATTCAGTTTTTGGTTAAATTTATGCTGTTATATTCTGCGTTATAGACTTAGGTAATATTTACTATTCATAATTTGGTTATTGACTTATTGCTTTCTAGTTTGCGATAATTGATATGAGTAAAATTTTAAATCGTATTTATATAAATTTTAAAATTTAATTTGCGACGGGTTACAGCCGTAGTTTGGTAGCGCATGCACCGGCCCTGTCAACTAGTTAGCACGCGGCCCATCGGGAATTTCCCAATCCGTCCCTGCTTACAAAAAAAAGCTAAAAAAAATTGATATATCTCCCAACAATTTATTGTATATTATTTAAGTACGCAATGCTACAAATATAAAGAAGAATTGTGTACAAAAATTGTAGAAATTAAAACAATTTAAAAGGATTATACAAATACAACTAATACCTACTCGTGCGTTGTATCCTAAAGATATGTATTTATTTAGTGTATTTTTTTAACATTTATTGGAAGAATATAACCTGTAATCGTATTTACAATAAACATATTATGTGCGAAATATGTATATCATACAAAGATCTAAAGATACGAGAAAAGAAGTCACCTATGATGACAGTGATCCAGTAATAAAACTCGGAGAACAATATTTTTTAATTGAATAGTATACTAGTATCAGTAGTAAATTTATTTTTACACTATTGTAATATATCATCTGTATTGACTTATTTTGTGATGTCGACTAAAATATTTATTGTATTAAATAAAAGTTGAAAAAATCAAATATTTTCAGTTTTATGCAATTAAAATTAATATATTTCCACTATTTAGTTATTCGATAAGTTATTATAAGTGGCAATAGCACATCGCCCAGTTGTTTTGTTACTTATTATAGCCGCCATATTTATTTCGTATTTGTCATTTTAAACATTGTAAATTATCTATTTATTTATTCTTAATAAAAACAAAAATATCAATGGGTAATACCTACGTCTAATACTTCCGGGTAATTTGCTAACCATTATGAAATGTCTTTAAAGTTATGTATGTATCTATACAATTAATAATGTTTACTAATTATTTTTAATTTCTATATTATAATATTATGGTATTCAATGAATACCATTATAATATAATATACGAAACAATGTACCTATATAGATTCTGTATAGTTAATAACTATTAAAAAATACGCCATTGTTGTTTTAAATATTGATATTATGATATATTTCGTCCATAGTAAACATCGTCATACACAATAATAGTATTATAGGCGACTATGGTTTTACTGAATTTTCATGAGTTTATCATGTTGTGATTTTATGTAAATAACTGCATTAAATATTGTAAACAACAGCCGTATAATAATATATAATATGAAATACCTACCTTCAATACAATGTATACACGTTGAGCCTGTAGACGATAATATTATAATAATATATTATATTCTAAAGGTAGGTGATCAATCTTACCTTGATATTAGCGCTGACCTTAGCACGTTATCCTCCAAAAACCGCAGTCGATGGTTTTCTACGAATCGGATGAATTTGTGAGGTTCGCTAATACGACGCAGGTTATAAGCGTAGGACCTACATACAATTATTCCGCTAAAATGTATACACGAGCAATATTATGTTGTATCAATAAAATATTAAAACGGTTTTTGATGTGTTCAGTAAATCAAATTTTTAAAAAACTCCAATACAAACAGTTATAAAAACAATAAAACTGTTTTTTATGAGTGGGTAAGAGCGAATAAAACGTAAATTGATAGGAATGTCGCTAACTGTGATTTATGATTAGACAGCCGCACTGTATGCCATTGACCAGTGGCGTAGCCAAGGGGATTGCAGGGGGGCTGCTTTTTTTTTTTTATCTATTTTGATAGTTTATGATTTCGCTAAAAAGTCTCAAATTGTATTTTTTAAATATAAATGGAAAATTCATTACTATTTTTACTATTTTTTTCTACATGTTTAACTTATGGAAGAACCTTTAGGTAAACCACTGCTGTGTAAAAATTAATCAGCCCTCTCCAAGAAAAATCCTGGCTACGCCACTGTTTCATTCTATTGACCATACTGTACAATGAGGATGGTTGACAATCGAATATTATTTCAATTCGAAAAGTGTATACCTACTTGCACAAAATAAATTATGAGTTATTTATGGTAATAACGTAGGGCTCGGAATTATATGCACTAAAAATTTATGAAATATGCATGCATATTGATGTTCATTCATATATGCACTTAAAATATGTAAAAAATATGCTGTGAACGAAAATGCATTTTAATTAAGTAATACATTTATTTGGTTTAAAAATGTATATAATTCATAAATAATTAATAAKGTATATTAATAACGAAAAAATGTATTAAATGCCTATTTGATATAATGTAATTGTATTTTTTATGATATATCCAGTAGGTAGTATGTTGTATTTTGAACATTCATCTAAATAAAAATATATGAACAAAAATCAAATAAAACAAATTTAGTATATTTTTATAATATTATTTCAAAATTACACGGAGAGTTACAGTTAACCACTAAAAACTTGGATACACTGTCAAATAAGAATGGACTGCGATTTTCAGGCAATGTTTTTTCTTTTCACAACTACGGGTTTTACATAATATGACATTATAGCATTAAGGTTAATAATAATAATAGGTACTAATTATTCATAAATATGCATTTTATTTTAGAAAAATGCTAAAATATGCAACATTTAATTTTGCATATACCAACACACTAGGTTAACACATTGATGGACATTCTGAATTGTTGTGGTCAGGGCCGTATTTACGCCTAGGCCGGCAAATTTTTTGGGGCGGCAAATTTTGTAAGAAATAAAAAAAGAATCATATGAATGCATGAACCTAACCACAACTTGTGGTTTTTTTTTTTGTAACTTTTGAAACGCAATTACATACTACTGCTATAGCAGTACCATCAAATAAATTATTTAATATTTATATTTATAAAACAAAAATGTACAGTTTAAATCAAAAACTTCTGTTTATTTTTTTGTCTAAAAAACTAAAAAAGTATATTGCTACATAGTAATAAAATAACACAACTCGGTAAGCTTATTAAATATGATCTAACTAGATCAGTACAAGTACCTATAACAAATACATATAAATGATTATAAAAGTATAAAATTGATTATAAATTATTATAAATTATTATAAAAGTGTTCTTCTTCGTGACAATTCAAATAATTATACACTTTTATGAAAGTCTTCAAAACATATTCCAACACAAAGTGGAACATCGCATTCTCTGCATTGGTATTGAGTTTGTTTTCTGATTTTGTTTTTTGTACACACTTTACAGCACTAATCACTCAATAGTCGGCACACAACTGCAACTGGATAACCAAAACTAAATATTATGACGAAACAATCGRTAGTTTATATAAATTATAAATAGTGAATTCAATATCTGATTGTTATTCGTTAAAATAAACAGCTGTCGTAAATAATTGTCAATAATATTACCGATAATATTATTATCATAAACAGCAAATATAAAAATAGAAATAAGTGGTTGTAAAATACAGTGCCCAATGGTCCGTTGAGTTGTAGTGGGGCAGTGGGAAATTCTCTACCGTATAAAACCATTGAAAATAGTACTGCTATAAATAGCAGTAGTGAGTTTTAATAAACGAATATTGAACTACTGCAACAGCAGTAGTGATATACGTACATCAAATTTAAAAATTACTGCTATAGCAGTACTGTCCATCAAATTTGATTCAAATTTGTATCTTACATAGCTATTTTTTAATTATATAAATAAAAATATGCAAACGCATACAATTTCAGGCCCTAGTAATAAGTTATCAACCTGATCACGATTCACCGCGATTATAATAAAACATCAAAGATAGCTCGACCGTTTTGTGTTACGGATTATCAGAAATAAGAGTTGATTTGGTTGCCTATCAATAATAGTGAGAGTGACGAATAAGAGCATTTACAAATATACAATATTAATATATTATACCACAGATCATATTTTCATATACCTAATCTGTGATTACTCTGTATTCAGTATATACCATATTATATTGATATATCGCACTAATACTATATTTGAAATATTTTGACCTACGTACTTCACACAGTTTGATGTATAGGAGCAGTTCTGCTATAGCAGTAATGAAAAAATGTCATTTTTTAGACGGGTTTGTAGAAAAATAAAAAAAAACCAAGAGTCCATCAACGTGTTAATTTTTGGTGTTTGAACTACTAAACTAGACGAATCATTCTGTATTTGTGTCATACTGGCATACTTCCATACAAACCAATAATTTTACTCTTAAATTTTGGAAATAGTTTTTTATTAATAAAACTATAATACAGACATTTATAAAACTAAAAAATAAATGTAGATTAGACACACACACAATATTAGCTTTCTGTCGTATGCTATATGAGGACGTTATACCCGCATGTGTTGTCTCCATATTGCAAATGAGTAATTTAACACATTTTACAATCAGTAGTTCTCTTATGTWTAATCCAACGCCATTTAATCCTCCTACAAAATGATGAAATTATACATTAGAGGTTAACTAGACTATTATGCTATAAATTGTAATTTAATTTTATTGACTGGCCCAAAGTAATGTCTGTATAGTTATTATTAAAAGATGTGATGTAATAATATTAATAAATAAAACAACAGTATAATGTAGGGAATTTAAAAAACATAAATTAGTTATTTCCTACAAATAAAAAAGTAACATCATAAAAACAATATGATATTTATTCAAAAACAAATATTTCAACATTCAACAATGTATTTACGAAATATTAGTTTGCTACCAACGCGTTACAATGTACAAAAACATGATGACTTAACAATATTTCCTATACTTGCTGATTATTTTACACATTTCTTTAGAAAATGAATAAATATCCCGAAAACATAGGAATTGTCCGTGCAACAGMAGAACACAGATCACATATCAAATCAACAATGAAGGATTTTTATATAGATGAACCGGTTTTCAAAGCTCAGAAAATAGATGTTGAGAAATTAGATAAATCCTTTTATGAACCCAAAGAAGACGACTTCACATTAGTAGCTATTGATAAAAATAATAAAGCTGTAGCATCTTTAGCTATAAATAGTATCATAAAATCTGATAACGCATTGAAACAAAAAAAACATGCTGGTTAGTGAATTCGATTTAGGTACTCAAAATGGTATATCCTCATTCCTCGGGTATACCTTACACAACATGATACTAATATTTAAAAAATGTTTAATTTTAAAACTTTTTAGATCTATACAATAAAATCAATGCAGATTTATATAATGCTTTAAGACTTTGGTCGTCAATTCAGAGCGAGCCATGTCCATTCAAAATGTTAAATGTAGACAAAATGTGGGAGATTAAAATTTTAGCAACAGCAAAACAATACCGTAGTTTTGGATTGTCGACAGCTGTTGCCAAACAATCATTTGAAGCAGCTTTACTCAATGATGATGTCTCGGTTATTTGCATGATCTGTACTAATTATCTCAGTGCAAAAATTGCTCAGAATCTAGGCATGGAGTGTGTGGTAAAAAAACATTTTAGCGAATACAAAGACGATAATGGGCAAATCTGGCTTAAGAACATACCTGAACCGCCAAATGACACAGCAAAAGTGTTCATTTTTAAGAAAAAAAACTATATTAAAAATGTTTAACTAATATAATGTCTTGATGTCTACGTAAAAATATGGCAAACTAATTACTATACTCAATAGCACCTATACATGTATATATATTTATTAATACAGACATCTGTTTTCTATTTAAATTAATAAATGATGTTATATCTTGTCCAGAACTATTACCTACAGTTTATAAACTTCCATAATGTTCCTAAATTTCGTTCACGTTCTTGTCCCACATTTGAAATCCCTTTTCATCGAACATCTTATACGGCACTTATAACCCTATATTGATCGAATAGCCTGAGAGTGCAATAATTTAAAACTTGATCCGTTTATTATATGAATAATTTGTATTCATTAAAACACCGTTTTTAGCAGCTTGTTATATCGCTAAAATTATCTCTATTATTTTGTGAATTTTATTTTATGTACTTAATTCATACTACTTTTGTACCTACTTGTATCTTTATTCTACCAATGTTATTATTATATACTTTATTGTCATTGTACTTGGGCCCACCAGGGCGTTTACACCAAATAAATAAATAAATAATAATATAAATTATGCATAGCATTGTGAATTATACATAATTAAGTATCGCGACATTTATTAATTTTTAATTATTGTCTATTGTAGTGTTATTATTTATTACTACATCATATTATATTACAATTTATCAGCTACTATAAAAATAAAATAATATTGCCCATGCAATTACCCATAATAAGTAATTACCTAGCATCGAAATACTGYAAATTAGGATGACTTGGTGTAGAAGTTAGCACAAGTGTTGGAGTTGTACATCTTAACATTTTAATATTTATTTCCAATAAAATTTTTGATTATCCAGTGGCGACCGATCGATTTACGAACCGGTTCGACTCGTGACTTTCGATTTATCGTTTCAGTTTACCAATTTTTGCCATTTAGTTATACCACAGGGCACAGACTACTATGTCTATGTGATATTATATCATATAGTTCGTGAGTTATACTAACTACCTACTGTAATCTTTGGCGTACAGCCACACAGTATAAAAAATAATTTGCATAACTATTTATTATTAATAATGTAAACAATACAGATTTTGTAATTTTATGATTATCTTGTTAAAAGTATCTATACAAGGGATGGAGTAGACTATTGTAGTTTCGATTAGCTTTCAACAAAACAAACGAAGTAAACGAAGTAATGGTAATATGTCAAGAAATATGACCGCGATTGGTGGGATTAACGTGACTGGGGTTATCAAAAATTCCTAACCTACAAAGAAAAACATGTATATGTTCGTATCGGCGAGAACAAAATAAATAGGTACGCCAAGGAAATTTACTACTGAAATATTATTGTATTGTTATTTAAGTGYATAGTATTGGCGTCAAAAAAGTTTACTACCTAGTAATTTACGTTTTATGTAATAATAGTTTGAACATACGAAWACACGATATTGTAGACGTGGAAAAAAAATTCATCGAATCGTATTGCAATCGGGTAAAAACTCAATAGGTAGGTATAATGGGTATAGCACATGMTATTATAATTATTAATTTTATACTTTTATGTTATAATACATTTTAAGTACGCATCACGTTCGTGTAACGTTTGCGTATTAATTTCTATTTGTTTACCATGTACCAATAGTTTATTTTTTTCGGTAAAACAGAAAAACGGAACTCGTTTCTGCTATACGTAGGTTGATAGGAACAATTATGGTATAGCACGTCTCTTCGTTGAATATCCTACAGGTGGGTCTATATGGAATTTTGTGTTTTATCACCGTTTACGAAAAAAGGGGTTATACGCGAAGGAGACCGCAGGTAGATCCAGCACACATTTCTATGGTTAGTTTATAATTTTTAATGTAGATATCTGTAGATTATCAAAAACATAATGCCGACACAAAATATTAAAATATAACATATGTAATACCTATCTGATAAGGGTAATTTAAATATTATTTCCTAATATCGTAAAAACATAACATACGAGTACAAATGTATTTTAACCCGACTTCTGTAAAATAGCTCTTTTGTCAGATACATACCAATGAATAGAGTTTCGATATATATTTTTTTTTATAGCCATGTAGGACGTAAGTACCGATGTCCAATGTACATACTTTAAGGGAATTAAGCTACAGTCTACAGGTCACCTTCAATCAATTTTTTTTCGAAGATTACCATCATTATTATTCTATATAGTCAGATAATGTATTGTAATCAAATAATAATTTAATTGTATTATTATGTATGAACGCATGGTTGAGTAATATGAGCAGCATCATAGATTAAATAAATTAGTCAATACTCTATAGGGCATAGGCTATAAAATATTATTGCATAGCATTCAAAAATGATCGAAATATTATTAAATGTAAAATCAATGGTAGTTGCATTATTAGTATTATCATTAATCAGTTTAATTAGTTTCCATAATTTCTTGTGTTACAGAAGAAACAGTTGGAAGTTTGTACTTAAACAGCTGATAAATAATTAGGATTTAAAATAACTTGGCTTTAAGCATATTAATATATAAATATGGCATTACAATATAAACAAATTATATGTATAAAATGATTGCAGTCACGTCCTGCCACCTACATATTATATTCTTTCACAAATCTCATAATTATTATTGAATTTATAGAAAAATCGAAACATTACAAGTGTTTGAATAATATAATAAATTAATAGGCTACAGTGTTGGTAGACAATAAATCATAATAATATAACAGTTTGAATTATATTTTATAAATCAATGAAAAAGTTAAAACAAAAATAGGTGCTTAATATATTGTATATTTATGATGTTTAACTCACAAATTATATCAATGCAATGTCCAAGTATACAAATTAATACATAAAAAATAAAATATATATAATAAAAAAAACAAAAATATAAAATATATATCTCACCATATCAGATCTTTCGTAAAACAATAATAAACTATATTTTGTTCCATACGTAATATAAATATTAACTGCCTTATAATCTTATATATTATAATTACATTAAATCACATTTAAATCAATTGGCAAGGCAATTGCATGTACTTACTTAAACCTAAGTAAAATTATGGTATAGGTATAATTTTTTATCACTTATCGATCAAAATTTATAGTTGCACAGAGATAAGTAAAAATATAAAAACTAAGTAGATAGGTGGGTGGTGACCAGAGAAGCTTTAAAATATCTTAAAATTTATTCAGCAGTTATTGTTATTTTAGATATTTCTGTAAAAAACACATATATGTACGTTTTAAGGTGTTTTGCGCTTTTGGTCCACAATATTATCTGACTTAAATAATACTTAATATATATACATACTAACTATCTGATAAAATATAAAAAATCACAAGATATGATCACAAAAATTACACATTACATCTGTATTATATTTACGTTCGACAACGTTACTACAATATTACATAATCTGGTTTTCTATTTTCTTTAACGCTCATCCATCTTTTTTTTTAACTTACATTTTTTTTTTTTTTAATACTTCACATTAGCAATATTACGATGTCAAAGCTAGACCCAACTTAGCCAACATCATCTGTTTTCGCAGTCTTACAATTTCCCAATACATATCATTTTCTAGTAAAAAAAAAAAAACATGAAATGTTAATAAAAAGTCTAAAAATATGTGCACATCCTCATTAGTACAGCAATTAGTGATAATTACTAAAAATAACTTTTGCGTTGCTTTGAAGTTTAATTTAAACAAGCTTGGTGCTCATCCCTGTGAAATTTAAATTACATGTCATAGTTCGTGTAAATATACATTAAAAATTAATTAATTACTTAAATGGACGTTAATCAAACAGGTATCATTTTGTGTTATATCCACCGAAAACAAACAAGCTCTTATCATAACCATCTCCTCATTTCTCATTTTATTTAATAACTAAATAACCTATTACCTATCAATTAGGTAAAATCTCAAAATCAACTCTAAATAACTAGATAAGGTATGCTGGTGTTTTTTCTATGTGAAATTTTTGATTTACTATGGACACACAACAAAAATGCTGTTCTGAATGTTATGATAGTATCTTCTTGAGGAATCACATTCTTTCAAAATTAATTTTTTTAATCTCAGATTCTGAGTGAAGCGAGAGTTATTTTAAATTGAACAGATGATATTTTATCCATTAAATCTTTATTTATAATTTAATGAAGTATTTATTTGCGGTATTAAAAAAATTATGTTTAGAAAAAGTACAAATTTTTAATTGTGTCCATCTCCAATTATTAATTAGGTTAAATATAATTTATACAGATGTTACAGCAGTGAATAAAAATGCATAATTAATTGAAAAACAATAGGCTCCTCGCTATGTTCAGAACCTAAAAAATATTTTTAAGCAATTCAAAGCAATGTATAGCATAAAAGTACATGTACAGCTTTAAATGAATAAAATATTTAATGTGTAAATAATAAAATTCAACAAATTCGTGTAATAGCCATTTTTCTTAAATGCAATTTTGTGTGGTAAAATACTATATACAATTACAAAAATTACAATTATTGGAAAATGAATAGTTATAAAAGATTGTACTTTTTAAAACTAAATAATATGTATATACTACATTATAATTTATCATTAAGTTATTAAGTCTACAGTTTTGTTTTTCTATAGTACTACTACGTGAGAATATAATTCATTATATTTAATATATAAGTAGAAATAATTATAAAAGTTACTTATATTACAGTTTTATGAGTATGTTTGTTTGTTATGAGTTTTAATATGTCCCATAGTAATTAGTGTTTGAGACATACAACTTATAAATTATTTTATTGGAACTGAAGATTTTTACTATTTTGCTAAATGATGTTCACAATTTCACATAGATTCCATTAAATTTGATTATCCATCTTGACACTAATATTGTAACTTAAACAGTAAAAAATAGTCTTGCAGTAAAATATGATTTGATGCCTTCTAATTCAATGTATACAATATTTACCTAACAAAAATTATCATTTAATGATACCATTTTAGTTATATTTAGTTCAGAATGTGCAGAAGACAATACAATTTCATCAAACTTAATAATTGAAAATTTTTTCAAAGATAAAACTAAAATATGAACAATAATTCAAATTTTTAAATGTTAGTTATTATCTTGAAATTATTAATAATATATTACAATAATCTAAATATATTATAATGTAAAATCAGATATCTAATATTTAAATCGTTAAAAATTCTAACTAAAACTAATAAATAATGACCGTAAATACAGGTATGGTACCTAATTTTTTAAAATTTAATATGTATCTATTAATAATATCTATCTTCAACCAAAAGTTACTAAAGCTTGATAATTCAGGAAAAATCCATTATAATTATCAAAATTTTAGATTTTAAATTAAAGATTAAAGACTGCATCTAACTTAAGATAGGCTGGTGCCTGAGTGATAAATTTTATGTGGCTCAATGGTAGGACAATAACAAACAAATATCCATTTTTCTGTTTTACTTATATTCTCAGGAAGTTTATAAATTCAACATAATATACTGTACATTGTTTTAATAATGTGTGATCAATATTAATTTAAATTTATTACAACATAGTGATAGTAGACAGATACAGTATAAGTTTATTTGTTGTAGATATACTTGTATGAGAGGGTGTGGGAATTTTCTTAAAAAGTATAGTAATTTAAAAATAATATGTAAAAAAATAGTTTTTTTTTAATAATTACCAGGATAACCAATATTATATAGTATTAAAGTTGAAATATGAATAATTTATAATGTTTGTATTCTTTTTTTGCTTGGAATTTTTAGATTAGTTATAAATGTTCAGCTCTCAAAAAAAGATTGGAAAGAAGACTAATAAGCAAAATGAGTAGAGTGCAGAGCCCTCTAGTATTTTTAAAAAGTAAAAAACACATTTTAAACTTATGATAGGGGTGCGATATCAAACTCTTGTATACCTGAAACCCTAAGAAACTTAAAAGTTCAAATTCAAATATACATCTTAAACAGTTGGAAAAGTTTGATATGTTTCAGTATGATGATAAATATTTTTATTTTTATTTTATTTTTTGTCAAGTGTTATTGGTTTACTAATTTTATTTTTAATAGTATTATTTAGCTTTTAAATCAAAAATTAAAAATTCAAACATTATGAACCAATTTAAGAACATACAGCAATTTCATTAATGTCATACATGAAAATATGTGACATATAAATGTATTATGTTTATTAAAAAATTTAAGGAAATTGATATAATCAATACAATATGGCATATTATGGGTAATTTTGTGATATTATTATTCAGTTGACTAATTACATACTATAATGTATGAAAATTAAATTAAATATAAGTAATTTTGAACAATAAAGCTAACTTTTAAAAGTAAACACCAAATATAAAACACTATTTTTTATTATAAATGTGTCATTTACTAACACAAGTTTTTCAAAACAAATGCATATTCCTATATAATGAATAAAATATTTTTTTAGTCAAAATCAAGGGCTTTTTAAAACGATTAATAAATACCTGATATTTAAGGAATTTTAATTATAGCTTAAAATCAATAGGTAATTAATAATTATTATTTGATTCATTAATTGGTTAATAGCTAATAGTATTTTGGTAAAATTAGTTTTTTCAATAGAAAGGTAATTATTGGTAACAGTGGAAGTATTTAATTTTTTTGCTGTTTTGTACAAATTAAGAAATATATTATTAAGGTACAAACCTAGACTTTTGACCAAGCCTCTTTGAATGTATCTGAGATAGTTGAGGAAATCACATACCGCAGTAATCTAAAAACACAATTCCAGTTACTATTGTTATTACACATCACAACAATAAATAATATCAATAGTTAAGAAATTAATGTTAAATAAAATATCATTAAAAACAAAAACTCACTCTATTACGACAAATTTGTGATATGCAATAGCATTCGCTATCTGCTCCTCCTAAATTCATTCTATAGAGACATAGCAATGGTAGTTCCATCAGAGCACATTTTCTAAAATTAGAAAAACTGAATATTAATTATTTTAAATATATGCAATATTAGTTTAAGAATTGTATGTATTTTATTGGGTACACTGGTACAAGTTATTAATTTTTATCACTGATTACTAGGGCTCGAAAGTTTTAAGAGTTGTATATTATTCTATAATATAGAATAATATACAACTCTTATATAGAATCTAAATGATATAAATTTTTGTCAGACCAAGCTAGAAATCTGAGGTATACATTGGTGGAATTACATATCAAAAATTTTTAATGTATATTTCATCCATTTTAGGGGAAAAGTGAACATTTCTTAATTTTCATACGTATATTACATTATTTACTCAATATTATTTAATGCAGGTTTATTTTTACTGTCTATAATTTAAATAATGACTGTGAAATGCACATATTTTAAATTTAAATTTATATCACACTAATATTATTTTGATGAACGTACTATTTTTTCAAATTAATATTTAAACTATTTTTTTAGTTCCATAAAATGTGAACATGGCAAACAATTTTCTGTTTTGTAATATTAAAAATATTAAACATTTATTTTCTCATATTTTTTATTTAATTTATTGTAAATTCATAACAACTAAAATAATTTTTTATTTCAAATTTGAAATTTTTTSTTTGCATAATTGACATTTTTGCAAGCATATTTTACAACTTTTCATGTATATCTAGGAATGCACGATTATAGTTTTTTTTATTGAGAATTTAAATAAATCAATAAATCCAAATAACTCTCAACTATATTAAATAGAAAAAACTAATATAAAATTATTTTCTTACTTTGGAAAATGAGATTTTGACTTGTCCATAGACTCAATAAAAAGATTCCCACATTCTATAGCATTTCTAACATCCATTGCCAGAGTTGAATTATTAAACTCTAGACATTGATCGATATCTTCTCTGTATATTCGACTTATAAAGGCATCTGATTTATCTAAAGTTGGAGATTTCATCCAAAGAACAAATTCACGATGCACATTTGGATCAATCTTGAATTATCATAGTTAAAATTATAACACCATTTAAAAGATCAAATAAAAAAATAACAACATTTGTGCTTACTTCGGCGCTATTAGATATGTCAGAATTATCTTTGTCTGTTACTGATGGATTAGACTTTTGCTTTAGAGGAGAATCTGGCGGCGAATTTTCTCGGCCATATTTTAGGTTATTGTGCGAGGGCGATCTCTTATGTTTACGATTGAATAATCCAACGCCACTTAGTCCTCCTAAAAATAATGAAATTATACATTAGAAGTTAACTAGTTTATATAAATTGTAATGTAATCTTACTGATCAGCTTAAAATAATTATTAATAAAAGGTATAATGTAATAATATTAATAAATGAGACAACAGTTAAATGTAAGGGATTAAAAAAAAAAATAAATTTGTAATTACCTATAAATAAAAAAGTAACTATCATAAACATAACATGATCTTTATTCCAAAACAAATACTTCAACTTTCACCAATGTATTCACGAAATACCTACTGTTACACGCTAACAACATGTCACAATGTAAAACCATGAGTATACAATATTTTTTAAACTATACTGACTATTTTACTATTTCTTTAGAAAATGAATAAATATCCCGAAAACATAGAAATTGTCCGTGCAACAGAAGAACACAGATCAAATATCAAATCAACAATGAAGGATTTTTATATAGATGAACCGGTTTTCAAAGTTCAGAAAATAGATGTTGAAAAATTAGATAAATGTTTTTATGAACCCAAAGAAGGAAACTTCACATTAGTAGCTATTGATAAAAATAATAAAGCTGTAGCATCTTTAGCTATAAACAGTATTACAAAACCTGATAATGCATTGAAACAAAAAATATATGCTGGTTAGTGAATTTGATTTACTCAAAATGGTATATCTTACAACAGTGGAGGCTTGAAGGGAGTATATTTGAATCACGTGATTCACAAAAATATTAATGGGTGGTTGGGTGGGTAGGTCTTATAGTTGGAAAAGGTAGATTGGACCATTTTTGCAGGTTGGTATTTAAATATTAAATTATAAATAATAAATATAATTTGTGTACTCAGCAGATAATGTACAATAATAAGTAATAACTAATAACTATATTTTAGGGTGGGTGGTGTAAAAATATTAAACGTGATTCGAGGGAAAAAAAGTTCAAGCCGCCACTGTCTTACAACATGATACTAATATTTTTATACAAAAATAAGTGTTTAATTTCAAAACCTTTTTAGATTTATACAGAGAAAGCAATATAGAATTATATAGTGCTTTAAGATTTTGGTCATCAATTCAGAGCGAGCCATGTCTATTCAAAATGTTAAATGTAGACAAAATGTGGGAGATTAAAACTTTAGCAACAGCAAAACAATACCGTAGTCTTGGATTGTCGACAGCTGTTGCCAAACAATCATTTGAAGCAGCTTTACTCAATGATGATGTCTCGGTTATTTGCATGGACTGTACTAATTATTTCAGTGCAAAAATTGCTCAGAATCTAGGCATGGAGTGTGTGGTAAAAAAACATTTTAGCGAATACAAAGATGATAATGGGCAACCCTGGCTTAAGAACATGCCTGAACCGCCAAATGACACAGTAAAAGTGTTTATTTTTAAGAAAAAAAATTATATTAATAATGTCTTAATACCTACGTAAACATATAACAAGCTAATTAATTATTATACTCAATAGCATCTATATATGACGTATGTATATATATTTATTAATAAAAAGAATAGTATGCATTTTGCAAAGCATTGTGAAATTCACAATGTGAATTGTACATATTATAAATTTATAACATTTATTCATATTTTATAACTATTGTCTACTATTAGTGTTATTATTATTATGTATTACTACCTATTGGGCATTGGCTATTATAAGTTATCTGCTACTATAAAAACAAAATACTATTACCTATAATAAATAAAATTACCTGGCATTGAAATACTATCTTCTCTTGATAAATTTGGATGACTTGGTGTAGAAGTTAGCACAAGAGTTTTTAATGCTGTCACTTCAGCAGATAAAACATCAACTTTCATTGAAGATTCTTTTAATGCTCTGGTTGCAGCCGCTTGTCGTAAATTTGCTTCTTTCACCATATTATGAGCTTCCTACAACAACAATATATCAACATAATTATCTAATCAATACTGTATTAATGCCACTAACTTGAAATAAACTAGCAGTCAATTCTTCTAATTCTGATTCAACATCAGCACGTATTCTACTTAAACGTGATACTTCTTCATCTCTAAGTTTTAATGTTTCTTTGGCTTTTTTTAATTCTTCCTCTAGTCTAGCAAATGCATGTTCTTTTACTTCATTAACTGATCGATCCCAGCTAGATGCAGAAGATTCCATTCCACTATCAATATCAGTTTCAGGATTTGCAGAGTCTGAAATTTGAATTTCAATTGGTTCGTCTTTATCAACCATTTGATCACTGAGCAGACACTCTTTAATCCCAGCATATGATGCACCGTTTTTTGTCACTAAACAATCCCCTTTGACAGTAGCAAAGCAAACCAAATGTTTTTTTGGTGATAATATCAACTCATTATCATTAGCCATTTGGGTAATTTCAGGAACATGGAGAGATTCTTCAATGACATCAGACTCCGATAATGAGTTCATAACAAAATTTTATTCAATTATTTTGTACAAACCTTAACCAAAACAATTAAAAGCTCGATTAAAAGTCTATTATTATTATTTATTAAACATTTATATTATAGGTAGGTAGGTACATAATGTTTACTCAACAATTGAATAAACAAGGTAAAACATAATAGTTGAATAAAAATGTTTTAAATTAAAATTAGAAAATACTGTAGGTATGGGTAATGACTAATGACTAATGTATGATGGTGCAAAAAATTAATCTATTGTCATCTATTTGCCAAATTTTTGAAAAATTTAAAAAACATAACTTCTTAAACTACAAAAATGAAAGTTTCTATAAAAGATAAATACCTATTCTTGAAAAATTAATTTAATATTTCATCTTTAAATACTTTAAGTAAAAGTGAAACTTTATGATAAAAAAATATATTCTAAAATTTTCTAATACCTACATAGGTAACTCTTATCTACACGACTATACTTTTTCTAACAACAGAACATGTAGCCCAACAAAACTGGATTCTTTTGCACATCCCCACTTAACACTCATTCCACTATGCCAAGGTGTCACATGGTGATGGGGTTATGCAGAATCAGCTTGTTCTCTCGCTAGACAGAGTATAATTAGTAAGTACATTTTAAAGGTATCTATATTTTTATTTTCAAAGTTTTAATGAGGTTTTAAGTTTAAATAAGAAGCTTCACAAAATTTAATAATACTTGAGATCAKACTTAAGATTAATTAAGAATATAGTAGGTAGTTTATATTCAAATATATTTATAGATATACATTTGGGTATAAATTTATATACATAATATGTTATACACACATAAGAAAGTATATATTATATTAGTTTTAAATAAACTTTTAAACAGGACATAGGTAATACCTATTATTATTTGTTTAAAATATTCTAAATAAACAATATCACATTTCATCATATTAAATGGAACTATGCTAAACAGATTTAAAAGTTTCAATATTTGAGAGGACAAAAGACTGGAATAAATCTAAACATCAGGGCCACACAAAAGAGATAACACTGTTAACAAAAAACATTAAACATACTAAAGAATTATAATGAATTTGAAAAATAATTGGGTAATATCTGTTTTCTTATCAATTCAAAAACAATATAGACATATCTACCTATAATGTAAGCAGGAAACAAATAGAAACACGATTTCTTTGTATTAAAAAAAAATTAAAAATTTTAATTAACCCTGATACAAAAGGTACTATTATTATTCTTTTTAAAATTTAAATAATTCTTTCTATACCTACGTAATATTATTTCGGACATCTGGTCAGAGAGGTGGCTGTGGTTAATCATACAAAGTCGGGATTCTAATAATATTATCTGTGTCTGGTAAAAGCGCGCAATAATACATTTATAGTTGTCGTTTAAAATAGATCGGTAAAACAAAGCTACGACCTCGGGTGAAAAAAAAAAACGTTTGAAAGTCCGATATCAAAGTCCCAGAAAAAAGTATAATAATAGTAATATCTAAATGTTTACCGCGTAGAAAGCGATAGGTTCCTAAGTGTCATGCGTCCGCACTACTTTCACCGTCTATGTGATTCATTTACCGCAAACGTCGACGAATAATTAGGATTGACGAACACGGTGAGCGTTATACATAATAATATAGTAATATTAAGATATTAAAATTAGGTACGTTTTATATCAAGAAATGCGAATTAATAAGACCTATAGTTTAGGGAAACAGATCCTGGGAAACATATGTCACGCGCCAAAAAATCGTTGGCACGAAAATAATATTACCTAATAGAGACGGGTAAGTCATCGTTGCGGGGGCAGCGAAACCGCCTCCTACAGAGTACTACGGCGTCACTCGGTGGTAAAAAATTTAAAAACGAATAATAATAATTATAATATACGAAACTTACGGATCTGGTTCGATGCCATCGTGTATTACGTACGTGTAGTAGGCGGCATGGTACTATGCGGACTGTCAATTCACAATTGACAATATTAATAATATTTTATTGTGCGAGTAAATTTAAAACGTCCGATCGTAGACGACGGACGGATGTAGGCGACACGCGATCCCGAACGGATACGATTATTTCGAGCCAAAGAATAATAATACAAAACCTTATACAACCATATCGCAATAATAATAATAAATCATAATAAAATCAAAATCAAATAAACGACGACGGCGATAATGCTCGGAAACAATAACACAGACGACGAAGCTCGCACAGGCTCACGCGATCTACGAACACTGCGGCTTGACCCTGATAACGGCGAACGATTTATCACGGGAAACAATTATTATTATTATTATTTAGGTGGTTTTGTTGTTATTATTTTTATTATTATTATTAATATCGTGTGGCGCGCGCTGCGAAACGCAATGTTGCGCTAGCGATGTGAAAGCGTTGAAGGGTCCGTGAACCGCGACTGGGTGGGAGTAACGTTCTCGGCGGCTGCGGCGACAGGGTGTCCTAGCGCCGCGACCGAAATTATCGGGCACCGAGCCATCTCGCAACGCGCACGGTAATTCGTGATCTTACAACTATGAATGTCTCAAAATCGTATGATATAATTAATGTATAACTAAAGCGAGTAGCATTAATCCACACGGACGAAAAATGAAATTGTGATCGTCGATCCATAGAAATAAAAAAATTATATAATTACGTGTGTCGGGTAAAAATTAATAATTCGATGTGTTAAGTTGTGGAAATTGTTGTGTGGGAAATAGGTACCTATTATTTGATTGTAAATTGCAATCATAATGGACGGTGGGTAAACCGGGAGGCATAATCTAGGTGTTACACGTGTTGCAATAACAATATATCATATTATTATAATATTATGTTGCAAGACGACGATACCTATACTGAGTATACTGGCTACTGAGAGTTGTAATAATATTATGAAAATACTAAAAATATGAACTTTTAATGTTGTTAACGACAAAACAGATTTATATACCATCAAAATTAACCACAGGCTCGGGCTAAAAACTTAAATGGTTAATACTAAGTACTGACTACGAAGAACTGCAGGCCATAGTAATTTTAATTTTTAAACAGTTGAAACTTTTATTGTGAGAAGGTACCCGATACTCGGCTACTTATATACATACATATATAGTCGAACTCTCAGAGATGTATTCAGTTTTCGAGACCCTAATTTTAATAAAGCTAATTTTTCTTACTGGGCCCCAGCCTTGTCCATTTAAAATATTATTTATAAATAAGGGGTATTATAGGTATACATTTTTTAGAGAACTGTTAATTTAATTTACCTACATATATTATTCGGTAAGATAACTCAACAAAGAAACTAACCGAACATTTGTAAAATTATGGTTAAATTATAGTTACTAATTAGCTAGGTATATTTATATATTATTAGTTATGATGACTTATTAATTTATTACCTATATTATATTGACATTTCTAGTAATAGTAATTTATTATAAACCCAATAATTATTACGTCCATATTCCGCCCGGAGCTCCGCGGAGTGATGGCCGCCCCTACTGAATATACGTATATTATAGTCGCTACCTAGCGGCTAGCTATAGAACCTACTTAGTTATATTTCATAACTTTAATTTTTTCGAACAGTTGAGTTTGAATTGATAAAGTTCATACATCACAATAAGACACGAGGGTACGAGATACACCCGAAACTCGGCAATCAACACCTACGACAGTATATAACAGAGCGCCTTCCTTGGTTTTTAAGAATAAAACTGACTTTTAATTAAAGTCGATCCAAACCACATTTAAGTACCTAATTATAGTCAATTTGAGTAAACGATAGCAAAATAATATGATAAATTGATAAGTAATATTATAATTACCTATATTATTATGTGCCTACCTATAATGTCATAGAATATAATTTAATATTTAATTGCTATCTGCTATCACATTACTAATTATAGACAATAAAACGACAACATATTATGACACACCACTGTAATAGTTCACGAACGACACATATTTTCCAATGTATTCTATTAATTTAAATTGGATTGGTATCTAAGTATTTTAATTCGTGTGAAGGGTTGAAGCCTTGCATGCAGAGGTTGTTAATAAAAGTCGATATAAAGAGATCTTTAATAAAGCAAGTTCTCATCAAGGATAGTCGTCGTAATAGTTTAGTATGAGATATTTTTTTTAAATACTGGTGACCATAAAAAAAAAAATATTCATTTGGTTTTTGTTTTATAAACAACATTCTGATAGCAGAATCACTTCGAGATTTTGACGCAGACTTATTTGGTTTGACAATTATTGAAATCTTTATTTTCAAATACCCAATCACAATTAATGAAATGATGAAAATTCAAACTACGATGAAACATAATATGTAGTCTGATATGATTTATACATAATTTTCTACCATGCTCAGTTGGGGGATGGCAGACTCCCCCCCTAAACAGTCGCCTGCCCTGAAAGAGATGCCATCCGTGGCCAGGATGCGAACCTATGACGGTGACCGTTGGAACCGACGCCGTAATCCGCTCGGCCAATTATTTGAAATTTAAATCTTTATTAAACATATTTTATTGGTTGCCGAACGAACAATGATAAGAAGCGCCGGTTGTCGTTTGCGCATCACTATTGTTATAATTTTGACCTTTGCGCATCGTTCGATTTTTGAGCTATAGTGTTATACATCGTTTGAGCATGGCGATATAAAAAGTAAAAATGTTATTTTTGATGAATTTGATCAAAATTTGAACTTTAAATATGTATGTAGGTACATTAATTATTTATAAGTATAAAAATCTTCACTGCCGAAGACACGATCTTTGATTGTGCTTACTGGGATCCGCTTCGACTGTCAGTGAAGATGTTTGTTGGTAACCGAAATATAACCCCGGGTGACGTACCTACAGGATTTGTTGTTGTGCGGCCCCTCTGATGTCCTGCCCAGCGAGAACGACCGGCTACAGGCTGCCTCCCAACGCACCACTCAGTCCTTTCATGACATGGTTGACAACATTTTAAGCTGCAAGGAGCATGATGAAAGGATAGCTGAGACCGAACAAAGAGCGAATGCAGTGGCAGCCGCTCCAACTGACTGAGCACACGAAGATGCACTTGAGAGCGGGCCGCGATTACCGACGGACTTTATTATTTATTGTATCGCATTGTATTGTATTGTATTAACTATTAATATTTTTATTTTTAAGGTGAAGCAACCATAATTAGTTGTGTGTTAAGTATGTGTATTGTGTATGTATTAGAGTTTTTATTGAACATTATTAAACGATGGTAGCAGAGGAGTAGTAGTGTTCATACAGATCCTCCTCTGCTGTCGGTTTAAACGGGGGGAAAAAAAAGTTTAAAAATCTTAAATTATTTATTATCTGTATAATATTATACATATACATCATGTAACACAATATTTTGTATACCCTTTTATTGTTTAGAATATTGATGCGCATTTGATGAACAATAATTTGGTGCAGGTAAATAGACGATGCGCAAACGATAATCAACCGCTGATGTGCTAACGATGTAGGAAATACGAATGTACGATATTTTTGGACAGGTAAACAGATGGTAGACGGAAAAATAGTCCCGTCAAAAAATGTCCCACACTAAGAAAAAAAAGTCCCGACGTAAAACGTCCCACTTCACTAAAATTTATTGGGATTTTAGGATATTATGATGATTTACGAGAATGGTATAAACTTTGATAAATATTATTAATATCTGAACTTGTAAAAGTTTGTGTCACTTCTGGATTATTTGAAATGTTTCTTTTAATAATTTTTGAAGGCCTTTCCAATTTGGCTTCCGATTTCCGTTTAAGTCTATTTGAAAATGATTTTATTTAAATACTTGATGTAGTTTCTTCTCTATGGTTGACATTTTAAATATTTTCATCTTTCAAATATTATGTTTGTTGCTTGATTCAAATAAATGTTTGCAGTACACTTTTTATACACTGCCATTTAAAAGCATCTAAATACTTGACATAGTCTTTTTTATAATATTTATAATCATTTATATAAAATAAAATCATTTTTTCTTTCACTAGAAACTATAGTTAAGTTCATTATACTTTATAACTCATTATAAGTTATAACTAATTAGTAATATGCTATAATATAATACGAATGTACGACACTATGCACGTGATGAAGAAATTTCGTTTACTAGATCGATACTGATTACTCATCAGTAATTAGGCGAGGAGTAACATGGGAAGACTGGGAAGTCATTTTAACAATATAAATATATACATATAGGTGTTATAGATATTAAGATATATCATATATCATATTATCTAAAAGATTAGATTTCAGTCAAAATCATAATCGACAATTATATGTAACGTAATATGTTATAGCAATGGTTTAAATGTATAATTAAAATCTGTTATTCTAAAAAAAAGTACACTAGAGGAGGACCGTGTGGCCCAATCCATGCCTGTTTATAATCATAAATAGTTACTTATTACTTATTAGAAATATTAGATGACACATTATTGTAATTATTATAATTAATGTATCATCGATATTATGATTTGGTATAACTTTATTTAAATATTGTAATAATTAAAATAGGTATGTGTAATTTACTATGATCTATAACCATACATTATTATACTGACGATTATCGAATAGTTTATATTAAACATTTATACCACTACTATCATTGATTAAACATACTTATATACGAGTTAGGTACCTATTTATACAAATATTACATAAATTTACACTAAAAAGTATTACGTTCTAACCACACACGAACCCAGTTAGAACTTGGTAAGTAGTCAGAAACCAGAAACATCCCCCACACCCCTCGCACCGGTTGACAATCCAAAGCAAGTATACTTCTGTTATTGGTTTTAACATTGAATCTATTTTATTAGCTTTTAAGAAATCTTTTAATAATTAGTGCCTAGTGGGGTGCTTATGTGTGCAGGGCAGTAGGTACCTATAATACACAGATAATAGGATTTCACAGTTTTGCTTTGAAATTTCGACACGAATATCTGCAGCTAAATCGTTTATTTCTTCAATTCGTATTCATATACAATTAGCGAACGGACTTCACTGTAGTTTTTGTGCGAATATAAAATATAGCCTTATAGTTCATGTATAGGTATAGAACGGTAAGGTAATAACATCACGACTCACGAGGTCTGCAAATTATACACGATATGCTGCACATGCCTCTTTATCGCAAAATTTTTCGTCTGGTATATACAATAATAGACGCGGGAATAATAAGGCATAATATGTTAGTTTTGAAATGTGTCAGCTAGGTACGTCGTCGAATTATCCCATACGTGTACGACTATATTTATATATAAATATA